GGCTAGCCCATACCATACACCCATACACTGATTCTTCCTCTTTTAGGGTAATAACAGGTAAGGTGTGGCAGCTTATTTGTGCCTGCCAGTAGGTAAATTACTACACTTTCTACCTTCATCAGAAGCGCCGTGCTGTGCAGCACAAGGGTCTCTGCCTTTGGGCTGGGTGTATGTAAATTTATTGTATGTTTCCAGCATTTGTAGTTGTGTTTATTTGCCACATCTAAGTAAAATTCTGTTGTTGCAAATGGTGTCAGGGTTGCTTTTCTCGTTCGTGACTTCACTGTATCCTGGGGAGCCCACCCCGGTACACGGCTTACACACGGATGGTGTCAGAAAGCCCAGGAAGCAATAATCTCCCTGGTAGAGTGTGCTGTGATGGGGCAGGCCCTTAATGACATAAGTCTGGACAACTTTCTGGCCAAAGCCTTTTGCAGGCCATTCACGATCACAGAGTCCAACCTCCAAAAGGATGCCGTCTCTGACAAGAACAAACAAGATGCTGCCTGGACCATGTCCAATGAGTGCAGTGCAACTTCATTAGGATGTGATAGCCACAGACCCAGGGAAGAGGACAATATCCTCATTTAGGTAAAAGTCGGACACTGCCTTTGAAAGAAAGGAGGGGTGCAGAGAACCAAATAGGGGGACTTTCAGAACAAGGCAGTTAGCTCCGACACCCAATGTGCAGAAGTGATCGTGACCAGAAAAGCGGCCTTCTGGGAAAGTGTGAGCAAGGGACGATCCCTAATGTTCTCAAATGGAGACTTCGAAGGACTGAAAGCACCAGGTTCAGGTTCCCCTGTGGCAATGTAACGTGCACTGGAGGTGCAACATGTTGAAGTCCCTGAAGAAAAGGTATGAACCAAAGAGTGCATAGCCACGGGACATTGGAAGAAGATAGCCAGAGCAGAGACCTGGCCCTAAATGGCACCAGTTTCTTATCCATGCCATGTTGAAGAAAACCCAGGATCCGAGACACAGATGCCAACCCTCAGCCTCGCACAATGAAATGTAAGCCTTCTAGGTGCAATGATAGATCTTCCAAGAAGTGGATTTACACGCCTTCAACATAGTGGGGATCACAGAAGTCGGCAACCCCTTATCCCTCAGAACCTGGCTTTTAATAGCTACGCTGTCAAAGCCAGAGACAATAAAGCAGGGTGGAAGATCAGTCCTTGGGCATCTACCTCAACTGTACCACGTTGGCATACCAGTATCGCCAAGGCCAGTCTGGAGTTATCAGAATGAGCAGGATTCCTTCGGCCTCTATCCTTCATAGAAGACAAGGGAGATGTTTGAGCAGGGGGGAATGGGTGGATGAGTAGATAATGACTCCACCGTTGCATTCGCCAGGGGATCTTGTGCTCTCACTACGAATTTCAGCACCTTGCGATAGAGGCTGGAGGCCAGCAGATCCACAGCTGGTGTACCCCACAAAAGGCAGATTTGATGAAGCACCGCCAGGTGCAAGGATCATTTTCCTTAATCTAACATCTGCTGAGGTAGTCCACTTGCCACTGGAATGTAGATGGCATAGAGAGCCAGCACGTGGAGTTCGGCAGCGGCGCTGGAGGTTTCTCAAATTCTTTGGTGGGCAAAACGCCTCATGATTGACAAAGGCCACGGCCGTAGCGTTGTCTGATTTGGTTCCTGTCTGGATGTCCAAGTAGACATTCCTTCTATGGGATAGACATAGTCTGATCACACATAACTCCAGAGCATTGATCGGTAGCAGAGACTCCTCAGATGTCCAGAAGCCCTGGGCTGACTGTGAACCCCCCCCCCCCCACACACACACACACCTTATCAGGCTGGCATCTATCATGACCACTGTCCACTGGAGAGGGAGAAATTACTGGAGAGCTTAGCAACCAGAGAAGTGAGGCCTTGGTCAAGTGTCCCTCACAGATTTGGTTGTCGAAGTACCCAGGAGATCTGTCCCACATTGTCCCTCAGCACAGAATATGGAGGAGATCATCCAGGTAGCCGATGACTGCAACACCAGAACTGGAGCCAGCACCTGCGTGAACATCTATTGGGTAAAGGCTAGACTAAAGGGCAGTGCCACAAACTGATAAGGGTGTCCCCAACTGCAAAGCGCAGAGCTGAGAAAGAAAGGACCTTGCTTGTGGCGCAGGTCCTTGCCCTTTCTGAGTTGTGGGCAAAAGGTACTCTTTCTCCTGCAAGATCCTTAACACTGCTGGCCAGGGTTATTCCAAAGAGCTGCGCACCCCTGGAAGGGTAGATCGGCCAAAGGTTTTTTTTTTTTAGATGGTTGGTCTGCTGACCAGCACTTAAGAGCACGTGCCAGAGTACCACTGTCAAGATGGACAACTTAGAAAGTAAAGGGTCGCATCCAAAGCCACATCGTGAATATACTTGAGGCCCTGTAGCAGCAGGTCAGCAAGTTCCACAAAAAAAGGGGGGTACCTGCTTGGTACCCAAATTGTGGCCCATTCTGTAAGCATCTGAAACACACAGGGCTGTGGGTGAAGGGCTGAGCCCGCAATCGTAAACAGAGTGGGCAATTGATTCTGACTTTCTGTCTGTGGGGTCCTTGAAAGAAGGGGACCCTTCGGGTATGACCGTGACCTTGTTTATCCTGGATTAATGACAGCAGGAGAGGTCCACTTCTTCAGAAGGGCCTCCTCAAAGAGATAATGCATCCAACAATGCCTTGAAACTGACCCAGACTTTTTAGGGTTTTCCACACAGCAGTAACAAGTGCTGCAAACAGCGGTTTTTCATGCATGGCAACGGCTGCAGAGAATTCTCCTTCACTATCAGACGGATCGAGACCAGCATTGTCTGGACACACGTGCAAGTGTGAATTGCCTGCTTAGGGTTTACAATATGTCTTGGAAATAATGTTAAAATCATTGTAGAACTAAGCTGTAGATCCAGAAAACACAAGTGTGTTGTCTAGAGATGAGCGAATCGAAGTATCCGAAGTGGAATTCGAGTCGAATATCGGAAAAAATTTCGATTCGTGCCGAATCCGAAAAAATAGCCTAATTCGGACGCACGCGAATCGAAATTTTTCAGAAAATGGCGGCTGACATGTGCGGCGACGGAGCGGGGATGTCTGGGAAGGCGCGCAGACAAGGCATAATGCATTCCTCAACTACATGTGATCGCATCAGCCAATCAGCAGCCAGCCAGGAGCTATAAATAGCGGCCATTTTGGAATTCTTCATTTGCCTGCAGTTATTGAACAGAGGCAGACCGCTCTGTACTAGGGACAGGGACAGAGTTAGGGCCACAGAAACGATAATTGGGGACAGAGAAAAAGTTACTTAGGGACAGAGAACCATTACTCAGGGACACAGACTTGTTAATGAGGGCCACAGAATCGTTATTTAGGGACAAAGAAACGCTAGTTAGGGCCACAGAATTCATACTCAGGGACAGACAGAATTGTTACTCAGTGCCAGAGAATTGTTACTTAGGGCCACAGAAACACATTATTAGGGCACAGAATTGTTACTCAGGGACAGACAGAATTGTTACTGAGTGCCAGAGAATTGTTACTTAGGGCCACAGAAACTTTACTTAGGGCCACAGAATTTTTACTCAGGGACAGACAGAATTGTTACTGAGTGCCAGAGAATTGTTACTCAGGGACAGACAGAATTGTTACTGAGTGCCAGAGAATTGTTACTCAGGGCCCAGAGAAACTTTACTTAGGGCCACAGAATTTTTACTCAGGGACAGACAGAATTGTTACTGAGTGCCAGAGAATTGTTACTCAGGGACAGACAGAATTGTTACTGAGTGCCAGAGAATTGTTACTTAGGGCCACAGAAACTTTACTTAGGGCCACAGAATTGTTACTCGCACAGACACAGAATTGTTACTCGCACAGACACAGAGAATTGTTACTGAAGGCCACAGAACTGTTACTTAGGGCCACAGAATTGTTACTCGCACAGACACAGAATTGTTACTCAGGGCCACAGAACTGTTACTTAGGGACAAAGAAACGCTAGTTAGGGCCACAGAATTCATACTCAGGGACAGACAGAATTGTTACGGAGAATTGCCAGAGAATTGTTACTCAGGGCCACAGAAAACTTTACTTAGGGCCACAGAATTTTTACTCAGGGACAGACAGAATTGTTACTGAGTGCCAGAGAATTGTTACTCAGGGACAGACAGAATTGTTACGGAGTGCCAGAGAATTGTTACTCAGGGCCACAGAAACTTTACTTAGGGCCACAGAATTTTTACTCAGGGACAGACAGAATTGTTACTGAGTGCCAGAGAATTGTTACTCAGGGACAGACAGAATTGTTACGGAGTGCCAGAGAATTGTTACTCAGGGACAGACAGAATTGTTACTGAGTGCCAGAGAATTGTTACTTAGGGCCACAGAAACTTTACTTAGGGCCACAGAATTTTTACTCAGGGACAGACAGAATTGTTACTGAGTGCCAGAGAATTGTTACTCAGGGACAGACAGAATTGTTACGGAGTGCCAGAGAATTGTTACTCAGGGCCACAGAAAACTGTTACTTAGGGCCACAGAATTTTACTCAGGGACAGACAGAATTGTTACTGAGTGCCAGAGAATTGTTACTCAGGGACAGACAGAATTGTTACTGAGTGCCAGAGAATTGTTACTCAGGGCCACAGAAACTTTACTTAGGGCCACAGAATTTTTACTCAGGGACAGACAGAATTGTTACTGAGTGCCAGAGAATTGTTACTCAGGGACAGACAGAATTGTTACTGAGTGCCAGAGAATTGTTACTTAGGGCCACAGAAACGTTATTAGGGCCACAGAATTGTTACTCAGGGACAGACAGAATTGTTACTGAGTGCCAGAGAATTGTTACTTAGGGCCACAGAAACTTTACTTAGGGCCACAGAATTGTTACTCAGGGACAGACACAGAATTGTTACTGAGGGCCAGAACAGAATTGTTACTTAGGGCCACAGAATTGTTACTCGCACAGACACAGAATTGTTACTGAGGACCACAGAATTGTTACTGAGGGCCACAGAATTGTTACTTAGGGCCACAGAATTGTTACTCGCAGGGACACAGAATTGTTACTCGAGGGACACAGAATTGTTACTCGGGGACAGACACAGAATTGTTACTCAGAGGTTACTGAGGGCCACAGAACTGTTACTTGGGGGCCACAGAATTGTTACTCAGGGACACAGAATTGTTACTTACTCAGGGCCACAGAATTGTTACTCGGGCACAGACACAGAATTGTTACAGGGACACAGAATTGTTACTGAGGGCCACAGAGAATGTTACTTAGGGCCACAGAATTGTTACTCGCACAGACACAGAATTTCTTACTCGCACAGACACAGAATTGTTACTCAGGGAAACAGAACTGTTACTGAGGGCCACAGAACTGTTACTTAGGGCCACAGAATTGTTACTCGCACAGACACAGAATTGTTACTCGCACAGAACAGAATTGTTACTGAGGGCCACAGAAACTGTTACTTGGGGCCACAGAAACGTTAATCAGGGACACAGAATTGTTACTGAGGGCCACAGAACTGTTACTTAGGGCCACAGAATTGTTACTCGCACAGACACAGAATTGTTACTCAGGGACACAGAATTGTTACTCAGGGACACATAATCGTTTAATTAAAGAGTATGTCAGACAACATGCAGAGGAGTGGCAGAGAGGAGGCAATGTTTTAGGAGCGAGCAGACGTGGCAGCAGAGGAAGGGGTCGAGGCAGCACTATTCGCAGCCAGAGGCCAGTGCTCCCGGTGTCATCCAGCGGTCGTGTCTCCACCGACAACCCTGCCGTCATCGATTGGTTGGCTCGGTCGTCTTCCTCTTCCCAGGTCACCTCTGACACCTACAGCCAACGGTCGGTGGGTACGTCAGACACAACCGTTAGTTGGCATGGCCCGGGACCAAGCCCACTGAAATCACGTGTCCTCTACCTGCCCCTGTCCTTTGGTGTTCCCTCACCAAGCGAAGTATCGCATGCTGTGGGCTCAGCCCCACTGTACAGTGAGGAAGAGCTAACAGAGGGCGGTCAGGAACGGGGGGAGACATCCGCCTTTTCAGCAGCCAGGCGAAGAAGTAGTGGCGAGGAGAGTGGCCCGGTAGCCGGTCTAGAGACAGGTCTGTCTCCCTGACCCGCGCAGCCGAGGGGGCTAGTAGTAGTGAGGCGGAGACCCTACTTGATGATGAGGAGGTTGATCGCACTTGGCAGCCTCGTCGTCATCAGGCAATTTCTTCCGCATCATCAGGAGAAGAGGGTGGCAGCTTGGCAGCTTGGCAGTGAGCGAAACAGTCGGTGGGTTGCCCAGGAGACAGCAGCAGGGTCGCAGCAGTGTCAGTGGAGCAGTGTCAGTGGAGCCAAACGGCCACGGAGTAGAGCACCAGCTCCACTGCAGCCTACCACCACGGCCAGTAGTGGTGCCGGTGTGCACGGAGGAAGCAGCAGTCAGCCAGTGAGGAGTATCGGGGGGCAAAGTTTCCTACTCGGCGGTGTGGCAATTTTTCGTCAAGCCGCCCGAGGAAGTAAACGTAGCCGTATGTCGACTATGTGGCCAGAAAGTCAAGCGTGGCCAGGGGGCCCATGTTGGGACTACAGCGTTGCGGCAGCATATGCAGCGTCGCCATTTGGTGGCCTGGGAAAACCGTGATAAAGATACGGCGGTTCTGCCCGCCCCAGCCCCCGCTCCATCACCCGCTCCGTTACTTGCTCCGTCACCCGACGTCAATCGCCCTCCATCATCAGCCAGTCAAGGCTCCAACACCTCTGCTGAGGGGAGTTGTCGCTCGTTGGCATCTTCCGCTCGTTCAGATGCTCCTTCTCCTGCTACTCCTCTTCACGGATTCCGTCAGCAGTCTTTCTTGGAATCCGTTTCCAAGAGACAACAGTTTGCGAGCACGCACCCGACGGTGCAAAAGCTGCTGAACGTCCTCCTGTCCAAGTTGCTGGTGCTGCAGTCCCTCCCTTTCCAAGTGGTGGACTCAGCACCTTTCAGAGAAATGATGGCTTGTGCCGCGCCGCGGTGGAGAGTGCCAAGCCGTCATTTCTTCGCCAAAAAGGCAGTGCCAGCCCTGCATTCACATGTAGAAGAGATGGTGGGCCAGTCTTTGAGCATGTCGGTCTCTGCCAAAGTGCACGGCAGCGCCGACGTGTGGAGCTGTAACTACGGTCAGGGACAGTACATGTCATTTACGGCCCACTGGGTGAACGTGGTGCCGTCACAGCCGCACCAGCAACTTGGACAGGTCACGCCGCTTTTGCCTCCACGTTTGCACGTCCTTGGTCCGGCAAAGATGTCCGCCTCTACCACCTCTTCTTCCGCCGTGTCCTCAGCCGCCACCCCCGTGCCAAGTCCCATTACCCGACCGGCATATCACATGTGCAGGGCGCAACGGTGTCACGCTGTGCTGCACCTGGTATGCCTTGGCGAACGTAGTCACACAGGGGAGGAACTTCTGAGTGTAATGAACAGAGAAATCGACAGATGGCTGTCTCCGCGCAAACTGAAAATCGGAACCATGTTGACCGACAACGGAAAGAACATGGTGTCTGCTCTGCGTCAAGGAAGGTTGTGCCATGCGCCATGCATGGCTCACGTCGTGTTCAATCTGGTTGTCAAGCGGTTCCTAAAATCCCACCATCCCACTGCAAGACATCCTTAAAATGTCACGTAAACTTTGCATGCATTTCAGCCATTCCTACACCGCAAAGCACACCCTCCTTGAGCTGCAGCGGCAGAACGAACGGAATTCCACAGCATCGCCTGATCTGCGACGTTGCAACAAGGTGGAATTCAACCCTACACATGTTAGACCGCCTTTACGAACAGCGAAAGGCCATCACCGATTTCCTGATGTTACAAGCGGATAAAGGTACTCCCCTGTGTAACTTCGATGTCAGCCATTGGCAGCTCATGCGTGACACCTGCCGCTTGCTCAGGCCCTTTGAGGAGGCCACGCTATTCGTGAGTCGGCAGGACTATGGGATGAACGACGTCATTCCTCTGTTGCACGTCCTTGAACAAATGCTGTTAACAATGGCTGGTCAGGGTGCGGTAGACGTGGCGCACAGATCTCTCAACGCCACATGACCCCTGTGGGGGCAGGACAGGAAGAAGAGGAGGAGGTAGAGGAGGACATTTGTGCTCAGGAATTATTGAGTGAAATGGGTGGTTTTTCCACTCAGCGGACAGGAGTGGAGGAGCAGGAGCATCTGGTAGAGGAGGAGGAGGAGGAGAGACAGAGGACCCAGACGCACCGTGGCAGTATGCTGTGGAGATGGAGGCAGGGAGTCCCTCGCATTCCTTGGCACAAATGGCCCATAGCATGCTCGGTTGCTTGCGTAGCGACAGCCGAATAATAACCATCAGACAGAGGGATGACTTTTGGCTGTCCACCTTGTTGGACCCTCGCTACCGTTCAAAAATGGTGGCCTTTTTCACACACCTGCTGAGAGGGAGGCCAAAATAACGTACTATAAAAACCACCTATGTAGTCAGTTGGTCTCTGCCTTTGTGCGCCAACGTCCATCCTCAGACACTGTGTGGGCCCTGTGCGCTCGCGTCCGCTGCCATGGCAGCAGGGGAGGGGTGGGGGGGTGGTAGGAGCAGTGGCAGCTCCACCAGCAGCGGCTGCCTCAGTCTGCAGTCGATGATGAGTAGCTTTCTTCACCAGCGCAGTGAGGAAACTACTAACCAGCCGCAGCAGCAGCAGCAGCAGCAGCAGCAGCATCAGGTGGACCTGGAGCAGGACCTCAAACAACAGGCTTGGGCCTACTTGGACAGCACCCTGCCAACCGAGGTAGACAATCCCCTTGACTACTGGGCAACGAAACTTGACCTTTGGCCCCAACTAGCTGAATTTGCCCTTGAAAGGCTGTCATGCCCGGCCAGTAGCGTGGCATCGGAGCGCGTGTTTAGTGCGGCAGGAGGTATTGTAACTCCGCGGAGGACACGACTGTCCACCCAAAGTGTGGAGAGACTCACGTTTGTGAAAATGAATCAGGCGTGGATTAGTCTGGATTTCAAACCACCAGTTCCTGACACAACTGACTAAATCCGCCATGAATCATGCCTCAAACATGTGCCACTTTCAGGTCTCCTCACACACTGCTGGTGTGTTCCATTTTTTGACATAGGGTGCTGGCAGATTACGGGCCTCCCATAGCTGCTGCCAGGCCCCTAATCTGCCATGGGCCCCTATATACCGCCTCCTCATGCTGCTGCTGCCAGGTCCAGAGTCTCTCATGGGTCCCTGTACGGCCTCCCATTGCTGCTGTCTCCATCGCCACACTCTGCCATGTGCCACTTTCAGGTCTCCTCACACACTGGTGGTGTGTAGAATTTTTTGACATAGGGTGCTGGCAGATTACGGGCCTCCCATAGCTGCTGCCAGGCCCCTAATCTGCCATGGGCCCCTATATACCGCCTCCTCATGCTGCTGCCAGGTCCAGAGTCTGTCATGGGTCCCTGTACGGCCTCCCATTGCTGCTGTCTCCATCGCCACACTCTGCCATGTGCCACTTTCAGGTCTCCTCACACACTGCTGGTGTGTTCAGAATTTTTTGACATAGGGTGCTGGCAGATTACGGGCCTCCCATAGCTGCTGCCAGGCCCCTAATCTGCCATAGGCCCCTATATACCGCCTCCTCATGCTGCTGCCAGGTCCAGAGTCTCTCATGGGTCCCTGTACGGCCTCCCATTGCTGCTGTCTCCATCGCCACACTCTGCCATGTGCCACTTTCAGGTCTCCTCACACACTGCTGGTGTGTTCAGAATTTTTTGACATAGGGTGCTGGCAGATTACGGGCCTCCCATTGCTGCTGCCAGGCCCCTAATCTGCCATAGGGCCCCTATATACCGCCTCCTCATGCTGCTGCCAGGTCCAGAGTCTCTCATGGGTCCCTGTACGGCCTCCCATTGCTGCTGTCTCCATCGCCACACTCTGCCATGTGCCACTTTCAGGTCTCCTCACACACTGCTGGTGTGTTGAATTTTTTGACATAGGGTGCTGGCAGATTACGGGCCTCCCATAGCTGCTGCCAGCCCTAATCTGCCATAGGCCCCTATATACCGCCTCCTCATGCTGCTGCCAGGTCCAGAGTCTCTCATGGGTCCCTGTACGGCCTCCCCATTGCTGCTGTCTCCATCGCCACACTCTGCCATGTGCCACTTTCAGGTCTCACACACTGCTGGTGTGTAGAATTTTTTGACATAGGGTGCTGGCAGATTACGGGCCTCCCATAGCTGCTGCCAGGCCCCTAATCTGCCATAGGCCCCTATACCGCCTCCTCATGCTGCTGCCAGGTCCAGAGTCTCTCATGGGTCCCTGTACGGCCTCCCATTGCTGCTGTCTCCATCGCCACACTCTGCCATGTGCCACTTTCAGGTCTCCTCACACTGCTGGTGTGTTAGAATTTTTTGACATAGGGTGCTGGCAGATTACGGGCCTCCCATAGCTGCTGCCAGGCCCCTAATCTGCCATAGGCCCCTATATACCGCCTCCTCATGCTGCTGC